TTGCCAAACCATACCATCTTCAACTAATAGTTCAACTGATTGAATCTTGAATATTATTCCCATTGATAATAGTATTTCTTCTTCTCCCATGCCAAAATAACTCCTATCTTTTATATCAGCTAATGGTTTACTTTTAGTAGCAACATTCTTATCAAGCGTAATTTCAAATAATATGGATTCATACGATGGTCTATTAGAACCATTTCCAGCGTATGTTAACGCTAAGTCTTTTATTCGAGTTGTTGATAAATATGTATTCATTGAAATAAGACCATTCACATTGTTTTTTATTTTTTCTAATTCGTCACAACTTATACTTTGTCCACGGTAGACAATCAATGTTTCTTCTAATGATGAAATATTTTCGTTATATAACTGGTTCAATTGTACATAAAGATCTGTTATGAAAAAGCGATATTTAAAAATGGTATCAATATCCTGTGTACGTAGCGCTTTGTTTAGCTGCTTGTATAGAAAACTATCACGTGTATACCATAAAACAGCAAGATCTGGTTTATAGGTTTTTTCAAACTCGTCAATAATCTCTAACTGCTTGGTGTTTCCAGCATATTGTAGTCGACAATCATTTAACATCATCGCTTTCCCATTAGTTGGAGGTAGTTGAATTAAAACGTCTAGAAGCAATTGAGTCCACATAAACATAGTATATTCCTTGTTTAAAGCACAAATCGATTTTTCATTGGTTATACATATTGGTGTCAGACTGTTTAAATGTAATTTTATGTCTTGTTTTAGTTTTGCGATAAGTTGATTTTTATTTGAGAATATCCCATGAAGTTTTGAAATATTTATTAGCTGGCATGTGTCACTAGACTTATTATTCGAATATAGAATGTAAATGAATACAATCTGCTTAATTTCAAACACCAGTGGAATAAATGTTTCGCATATTGAACCAGCCACAATGAGAAAGACATGTTCATTTGCCATAATACCATGAATACATTCATCAGTATCATTATATATTTCTATATAATTATTACATTCTCGTAAATTAGTTTTCGTATCAAAATAATCATCCCTATTTTCATGAATCCGATCAACATCAAGCCATACAATAGTTAGATCTTCAAGATTTTTCATTAATGAAGCCATCAACTACTAAAATGAATTTTGTGAATTTTCTTCAATATAATGCACTTTTATTCGATTCTCGTACTAAATATCATATATTATATCAAGTAATACGTTGTTTAATAAATGTTTGCTTTATGATTACTTCACTGTGCCCAATGAAATATCTGTTATCTCTGTTTACTCATATTATCACCAAACAGCACAAAATAAAAACGATTTTATAACATGTGATTTTGCGTTGGAAAAATGTTTCAAAACAAAGTCTTGTCTCTGGATGAGTGAGTGAGACAGAAGCTGAGGCTGAGAATGTAAGTGTGGGGGAACATGACAGTGCAGGTGAAGAGATGAGACCATAGGTGGTGGTGGCTGTAGAGTGTAAGCATGCGTGGGTGTATATCGATGGAAAATAGATTGACCTACATCTGTTCGATACAAATGAATCCGAGTGTGAGTGTGGATGTGAGTGGGTATAGGTGCGTTTCAAGAGGAGACTCACACCCACATCCACACACTAGATATTGATTTTTGCTTTAGTTTTTACAGTCGAGAACTTTGAATGGATCATTAATTTCCAAGATTTTCATGCGTAACTTTCTTGGTCTTTGATATTTCTCTTTTAAACTTTAATAAATTTTTTTTTCAGTTTCACAAAATCGACTTTTTTAGATAGAAAATTCATCTCACAATTCCGACAATTGAATGTTGCAAAATTTTCGTTTAAACACGTTTTTTTATTAACCCACACATTGTCGACAGACTTTAAAATCATTCATTATAATGCATCGGAGAGCATTCACGTTCGCTAAAAAACGTAAGCAAATCGTTTAAGCTCGGGTTCCATACGCGGATGTGGGTTTAGATCTTTTCAATACACTCATATCTACACTTACCCTAATCAACATCATTCTTTATAAGTTGGTTAATATATATCTAATAGTGCATATGATCTACTGTAGATATCATAAATATCTAAAACTGACTCATGTACCAATGAATCCATTGATTATAATACTAGGAATGTTAATTAAAGACAACTGAATTTCAAAAAAATGAGCGAACAGCAACAATGCAAACGAACAGTTTCTTGTCGAAATGTAGAAAATAAAAAGCTTTTTACTATGACGTTCGATTTTCCTATTAAAAAGTAATCTAAACGAAAATTTCCACTTAACATATTTTGTATTAGTTTAGTGAGGCTAGAGAACACAGTTGAATTCCACAATTCAGTCCCAAAGAGGCTGAGCGAACAAGGTTTTTTTTCGTTGTTTAATCGAAGGTTCATTTCTTTCAGCCATTCTTAAGATTGCTTTTGTTGAATATTATATTGAGTGTAACATCAAAAGCTCTTTCGATCATTATCAATCATATTATTGCCTTACAATCATGCTCCAAGTACATATGTTCGTGTGAATGCGTTATGTTAAATGGCAACCGGATTTTTCTTCTTCATGATTTAAAAGTATCTTTGTTTTTATGTGTTATGCTAATCGTGTTAAAAATGGACTAGCTCTCACAAATTCTTGAAATAAAATAATTGTTCATCTCTTATCCTTAACTGCATTTTTCATGTTTCGTGTTGAATAGAATTACACTAAATTAGATGACAACAAAGTTGTTAGAAACGTGACATTTTCTCTTCATAAAATTAATGATATAGTAATCCATCTGATACAGAAATATTGACATTAGAGACGAGCAATTTTGACTTCTTTTGGAATCAGATGAGGTTCAACAGTATTTAATGTTTTCAGTCCAGAATTGGTATTAGCGATTTCAATTTTAAATCCAATTTTGAATCGCTCATTTCATGATTAAAAGATAATTGTGAACTAAGGACGTAGACCAGTTTTTGCGATCGAAAGATTAACATTCAAACATTCAATTACGATTAATTTTTTATCTATTTTGAGATTTGAATGACCTACTGACATGATTTAGTGTGCAAATTATGAATCTAGGCATACATTCTTTTGTATGCCAAGAATGAAACAACCTTTTTTTTTATTTGAATATTTTACTGAGCACCGCTATTCTAGATCTTAAATGGTAATTGTCCTTTGTAAAATCTAAAAAACACTTCGATGAAGTAAAAAATGACAGGAAATGTTCTATTTCTCAACTCTTGATAGGTAGATATCAGAGATGAACAGAGGATTATTTTTTTGTATGTTACTCTATAGAGTCTGTATACCACGTTTATTCAATATCTTGCAGTGTTTGCTTCATTTATCTACTTTTCTATCACCATGCTTTTTTTATTTTGTTGCCTCTCTGAGATTCTTAAAAATTTAAACTGATAAAGTGTGTCGAGTATAGCTCTAAATCTAAAAAGATCTACGTGAAATACCAACTTATTTACATTCTTTTTATAAATATTTTAGATTCTTCAGAAGCAAATTATTTGTGATTTCTTTTATGTGTCATTGTACCTTTATTAAGAATAATTGGCGACTCCAGTGTTTTCAACAAAGAAGGACAATTTTTATACTTAGAAAATTTGATATGTTCGTTTCTGATATGCTTAAAAAAATGATTCCTATTAAATATATATGATTTCTATTTGATTAGTAACTGCTGGATATCAGATGGAAGATTTTAATTCTGATATAATTTTAACAATGCTAACTGATCCTAATAGTGTATAAACCATGACTGCGTCTACTTTTCAATTTATTTAGTCCCTGTATATTGATGTTATCCATTATGATTACAATTAAATGACAGCGATAAAACAAAGTATGATATTTTGACGCTCTTATAATGATGATTACACGTCAGAGAAGATCGTAAAATAATTAATAATTGGAATAGTACTTTATTAATACTTATTGTTTCAATCACCACACGCAATGAAAATTGACAATAGATCAAAACTTTATTTTTCCTTTTATTAGAATCTTATAAATTAAAGCTTCGAGTCTCATAGGGAATAAACAGATTTTGTTGAATGAAAATTTAAAAGTTCTAAAATTTTCAGCTCGTAAATGTGGGACTCAACTGAGAAGCTAATTTAAAATGCAAACACATTAATGTTTTAGGCCACTAAAATAGAATTTAATCCTTGTTGATAATTAAATTTGAATCCTGTTGTCATGCAAATCAAGCTAATATTGAATCAGTGGCGTAGCCAGTGGTAGAGCCATTGGGCAATTGCCCATAGCTCCAAAAGTTCTTGCCCATGGATATATTGAGCTATGCAGTGCTTGAACAGTTAGTGCCCATAGATATTTTTGAAATCATAATGGTTGTACCTAGCTACCCGTAACTCAAAATAGTTCGACTGATGAATTATACATGACTCAAAAATTTCTGACCATGCCACTGTGTTGGATAATGCTTTGACAAAAATATTTATTTTGAAATATTGTTTAAGATTAGAGACCAATCGATTCTAGAATGAGAAGTTTATATTCTCTTACTTTTTTTTTGATTACATCAAACAAATCATTGTTTACAATTAACTTTTCTTTCTAATTCAAGGGTTTCAAGCATATCACATCATACACATTGTGCTATTATCCTTAAAAGCTGGACAAAAAAGAGTTAAACATGGAACACAAGATGATTGGTTCAAACGACTTAGAATAAGCTACATACACTTTTATATGTGGCACCTATATGTAGCTTATCTTAACCTTTGATTGACTTCTACGATCTCATAAAATTTTATGTACGGTTCATAAATCGGACGTGATTCATTGACAGTAACAACTACATCTACAGGATAAAACAGAAGCGTCAGAACATGTGTTTCGATTTATGACATAGTAAAATATAGTCTTATTGTATTTTGAATATAATTGCTTACATGTGTGAGCAGTGAAGCATAATATACGATGTACTAATGTTTAGAGACAGAAAGAAAATAAAACATTGTTTATTCGTGCAATTATTCAAGTGAAATGTACGTTGTCAAATCCTCAAAGCAACGATCATATGTTAAACGTAAAGTGGATGTCACTGACAATAAATTTGAGGATGTGGTGCAGAAAGTTGATGACAGTGCTATTGGATTCGATCATTCAATTCATCAAAATAAATTAGAAGATGCTCGGGTATGTATTATATGACTTTGTTGTTCATTATAGTTTTGCAAAAGTCAGATTTTTATCATTACAAGTTACATACATGTTGTTATCGATTTATCTCTGATAGCAAGTCGTCTGTGATGTTTCAAAAAATAATTGAAGATCTTCGATTTTGACGCGAGTGAAATTTGAACAGATGATATTAATCGATCATTATAGCCCCGGTTGATTTTTCGGATATATTTTCGATTTAATTTAGAGTAGTTCATATTCAGAGCTTAAGTACACTTTGTTAGGAAAGATCCACGGAGAAAAAATGTACTCCTGTACTTCAAAAGTACAAAGCAGTACGCTTTTTCATCTTTGGAAGAAATCCGTGTAAGCATCGACCCATGTGTTTATGATGGTCTTTTTAATACATCTTAGAAAAATGCAATGATTTTCTTTTACGAAAAATTTAGATGTGTGTAATGTGATATTTATAGTTTGCAATAGAATCTTGTCAAGAAAAATCGTGCTTGCTTTTTGGAAGAGTTCAGAAAATGATAAATGAGCGTAATCAAAAAGTTCAGTCGAATTTATCAGCTCGACTGAATTAAGAGTCAACGATATAATGATATCAATGGAATCTTGATCCAGTGTGGCAATCAATGTACCGCAATACTATTTATAATAGACTTGGAACCAGTACCAAATCGCCCGATTTGTCAATGTCTGATTTTTTTACTTTTTTTTATTGGTTTTCATAGTTCAGAAATATATAAGGTGGAAAGTTGTCAATAGATAAATTTCTAGTCGTCATCAAAAACACAGCTTTTGAGCTGAAACTCATGCTTTTTCATAGCATGAGAAGATCATCAAATTATAATGAATGTATTGGCCAACTAATGCTTTTGGACTAATTTTAACCAGCTGTTAGAAATTCTCGATGGCTAGTAACTTCAATTTATGTACTCGTTACATAAATGTTAGAGAAAATTTCTTTTTGTTGTGGACGTTTTTCTAACTGCTAGCTGATACAACTGTGGAAGTATCTAGAAATTATAATCCTTAAAAATAGGAAGTATGGTATAAAAATTGAGCTTTCTAGTTCATTTTGCTTTCATATCAACAGTACTAGTGTAATACAGATCTTGAAGTCTTTAGTTTTGTTATATAATGATTGCAATTAAATAAACTCTAATATAATCAATTCTTCTAGAAGTAGGTGAAAAGTTTTGAAAACCTTCTTACTGATTTCTTAACATGAGTATAAATGGAATGCTACAAATTAAAACAAGAGTAACTACTCTTAGAAATCTTAACAGTATTCTAAGTTTCACATTGTAAGTCTTTGTGTAACTGTGTTAATGAACTTTTTCTCAAAAATCTATTAAGTTAATTGATAATTTTAAGCGTATCGATTTTTTTGTCAGTGAATTCTGCAATTGAACTGATCGATTTCGTTCGATTGAAAAAATTGAACTGATTTCAAGCTTGGTTTATATACATTATGTTATGTGCTAAATTTCGAGAAAAATGAAGAAAAATCATTGTGTATCTTTTGAAACGATTTTATTTTTGTAAGTTTTTGGTGCTATGTAACAATAGAACAGAAACAGTGAAGTATGATTAGATGCACAATTGAATGATTGTCATAATGTTAATGAGACTTAATCATTCTAGACGCATTGCTGCAATGCAATAACATTGGCTATAAATATAAGATGACATAGTGTCATTTACGCAACAGAACTCAAGTGATATAGAAGTAAAACTGTTAGTTCACGAGATCTAGTCTAGTTTAAGTTGAGTGAGTTCGTAAATGTTGATCTTGTCTGTATTCACGCAACATTTTCACGTACTTACTTAATATGTAGTCAACTATCATTTTTTTTCTACGTTAATACATTTTTGCATATCCATAACAAATACGTTAGGTTATTTAAAAGCAGAAAACAGAAATCTTCGTTTTTGAGGAAGTTTTCGTCATATAGTATAAATATCCACGATAGTGATATATCATCATCAGGACATATCACGATGTACAAGTTGCCAGATTTTCTTAATAACTAACTTTTAAGTATTGATACTGATCGACAAAATAGAATTTCGTGAGAGCTTACATAACAACGAATTGATTGATAATAAAATATTTTTTGACATGTAGAACGATAAAGAGACGAATGATCAACAGCAAATAACAAGCGAAAACGATTCACAGTTGCAATTACATGAGTTTCCACAGAACTTGAATGAAGAAGAAAAAATTCATGGAAAGAAACATGGAGTCGCGAAAAAAGATCTTGATGATACGACAGATAACTCAATTAGTAAAAATCATCGAGTCGTAGACACTTCTACTGCCGAAGAAAATCCGAAAAAAACACATGGGATCGTTAATAATGAAAATATTAACCTTGATCCTATTGTGGAATACGCTGAGGAACCTTTATTACCATTAGCAGAGGCATGTGCTCCACTGATCAACATCGTTGACGATATCTTGACTTACGTTCAATTGGCTCTCGATGAAACTCCAGAGGAACCAGCAGATGGTCTGACAGTCGATGAAAGTGCATCGATTCGTCTTTATACGATCGAATGGCCAGGCTCTCATCGAAGTCTCTATTCCAAACTTAATCGTACTCTTAAGGCCGTCGATCGCGAGGAACTTCGTCCCTATTTTAAGTACCTGAAACTACTTTTAACTGCTCTAGTTAAACTACCATGCGTTCCATCAATGACTATCTGGCGAGGAGTCACCAAAGATTACAGTGCTAGTTTTCCACCTGGAGAACTTGTAACATGGTGGACCTTTTCATCTTGCACAACTACAATGACGGTACTTGAGAACAACATGTACTTGGGTACAACAGGCTCGCGAACGCTCTTCTCCATCGAAGCCATCAATGGTCGAGCAATACGAGATCATTCACATTTCGCTACTGAAGATGAAATTCTTCTTCTACCTGGTACACACATGGAAGTTCAATCACAAATGATTCCAGCGACTGATCTTCACATTATTCATTTAAGACAGATCATTCCGAATGAAGTACTTTTGAAGCCTCCTTTTGAAGGTACCTTGAACGTTTTCAATATTTCATTTTAAATTGAATTATTTCTCTGTACAGGTGCATGTCTTTATCCTAAAACTACGTACGTATCACTTTCTTTTCTCATCAAATTATATTTTTAACGAGAATTTTATATTAATTTGTAGGCAAAAATGGTATCACAAGAAAAGATTTATTCTTCTAATGTTTCTATTAACGATTATTACCTTGGGAGCAATTATTCTTGGCTCTGTTTTAGGATCAACACTAACCAAGAAAGTACCAAGTAGGATTCTTCTTAGTCAGTCGAGTTCGAAAATAAGCAATGTCCTATTTCGTGTGTGTATCAGAAGAGATATAGTCATGATGCTAAATGAAACTCGATCATGTTTTAAGACAATGATTATTATCTTTAATAATAATGATAAACAAGAGTTCTGAGTACTATTGAAAACGATCAGTCTTAATTCCAATAGAGAGATACTTTTAGAAAAATAGCATGGAGCAGCACATAAAAGATTCTTCTCCTAGATATAGTAGGTGAAAATTCGGTTCAAACTATACTCAATGTAGAAAGTTTACAAGAATTTTCTTTTAAAAACATGCTGACCTATTCAAATTCTCTAGAAAGTATGCATTATTGTTTGAATGCGTTTAGTGAGCTTTGAGAAACTCTAAATTTTTCGTTTCATGTTGCCAAGTTCTTATCTGCAAAAAATTTATGCTGTTCTATGTGGAAAATGTTACCGATCTTGAGATCAGTATAGACTCTCTCAGTCTGAATGGAATATGAGAACGGGATATTATTAAGCGGTCAGTAAAATAAATGAAATGGTCAGTAAAATATATGAAATGATCAGTAAGATAAATGGTCAGTAAAAAATGTATAAATGATCAGTAAAAAGATTAAATGGTCAGTACTTAGATTATCACTCATATAAAAAAAAAGATTGGAAAAAATCTGATTTTAATCGATTTTTTTGTGATTAAAAATCGATTAAAATGGGACAGTTTTAACCAGGTTTTTAATCAAGCTAGTGATTAAAATAAATTAAATTTATAAATATCCATTTTAACCGATTAAAATTTTTTCATTGACTATTTTACTCAATTTTAGTCAGATTATTCGATTTTTAATCTATTAAAATCGATTAAAATTTTTAAATCGATTTTAATCAATTCTAATAGTTTTTCTTTTTAAATGAATAAGTACCAATTGATATCGAGTCTTGAAGCATGGAATTTATGTCAAAGGTCGATCTAGCATCATATCTACTAATTTTCCGAGGCAAGGAGTCCGAAAAAGCGATCGAACATCTGAGTTTTCAACATAAAGTTTGAGAAAACGCATTTTACCGTCGCCGCCATTAAAATTAATATTTATAAATTTAATTTATTTTAATCACTGGTTTGATTTAAAAAATCGATTAAAATTAGATTTTTTCCAATCTTTTTTTTATATGAGTGATAGTCTAAGTACTGACCATTCAATCTTTTTACTGATCATTTATATACTTTTTACTGACCATTTATCTTACTGACCATTTCATCTATTTTACTGATCATTTAATTTATTTTACTGACCGCTTAAATAGTAGCCTATGAGAACAAGTAACAAGTTTGAATCTAGCCTATGTATTTTTTCATTTCACTTAGTTCCAAAATATGTTTGCACGAATCCTTACACATCTCCAATCAGCTATGATATTGGTAATACTCCAATGTCTGCAACATTCGGTGATTTCAACAATGATGGAATACAAGATCTAGCTGTAGTCAATCAGGGAGACAATACTATGAATGTGGTGTTTGGCACTGATAAAGGCACCTTTCCAATTGACACGACGTATATGACTGGTGTCAATCCAATCTCCGTGACATCCGGTGATTTCAATCATGATGACTTATTGGATTTGGCTGTGGCAAATTTCAATGAAAACACGATTAGTGTACTACTTGGTAATCAGAAAGGAGGCTTTACAACTCAAACAAAGTATGAAACAAGAGAAGATCCAATCTCTATTACATCAAGTGACTTTAACCACGATGGTCATCTGGATTTAGCCGTAGCTATTTTTCGTGATAATAGTGTTAGTGTATTTCTTGGTTATGGCAACGGAACATTTAGCACAGCAATTCTACATGGGGCAGGAAGATGGCCAATTTTTATAATATCAGATGATTTCAACAATGATACGAATATCGATTTGGCAGTGGCAAATGGGGCCCAAAACACTCTCAGTATATTGCTTGGTAATGGCAATGGATATTTTCAGACTCCATTAAAATTTGAAACGGGCGATTATCCACGTTGGATCACATCGGGTGATTTCAATCACGATCAAAAACAAGATCTTGCAGTAACTAATAAACTCAATAATAGCGTTAGTGTCCTATTCGGCAATGGTGATGGGACATTTCAGTCTCAAGTTAAGTATAAGACCGGAGCATATCCAAACTCTATCATATCAGGTTATTTCAACAATGACAATAATCTAGATTTAGTAATTACCAATCAAATAGATAACAGTATAAGTATACTACTCGGCTATGACAATGGAACCTTTAACGAACGATTAACATATAGTACTGGTAATTTTCCATTTGGCTTGACATCGGGTGATTTCAACAATGATACAAATTTGGATTTAGCTGTGACTAATTCTAATGAGAGCACAGTTAGTGTATTATTTGGTAATGGAAACGGAACGTTTCAAGCTCAAATAATATATTCGACTGGTTTGACACCAAATGCAATTCTATCGAATCATTTCAATAATGATACAAATTTGGATTTGATAGTAGCAAACGTTGACGACAATTATATTGATCTGATGTTAGGTACAAAAAATGGAATTTTTCAGGCTAGAATAACGTATGCCGTTGGGCAAAACCCTCGAGTTGTAATATCAGGTGATTTTAATAATGATAAACGACTAGATTTGGTAGTTGCCAACTCCGCAGATAACAATATCGGTGTTTTCATAGCCGATAGAAACGGATTCTTTCAGTCTCAAGTGACATATACCACTGGCAAGTCACCAATATCTATCACGTTGGGTGACTTTAACAATGACACAAATTTAGATTTAGCTGTGGTGAATAATCTCGATAATAGCTTTAATATATTTCTTGGTAATGGTGATGGAATTTTTCAGACTCCAAGTACATATAATACTGGTAATGCACCAAGCTGTATAACAACGAATGACTTTAATAATGATAAAAAGTTAGATCTAGCTGTGACGAATTATAACGAAAATAATGTCATGGTGATGTTGGGCAATGGAGACGGTTCTTTTCAAAGTCCTATAAAGTATGAGACTGGCAAGAAACCGAGCTATGTTATATCAACTGATTTGAATCAAGATGGAAGAAAAGATCTAGTAGTAACAAATTTCGGTTCAAACACTATAATCATATTTCTAAGTAATGACAGTGGACCATTTCTCATTGAAATGCAATATAGCGTTGGTAAGCAACCGATTTCAGTTGTATCGGATGATTTTGACTATGATGGCAAGATGGATCTGGCAGTATTATGCTCTGCCTCAAACAGTATTAGTATACTACGAAACGCAAGCAGAACGTTCTCATCTCAGACAACGTTAGGAGCGGGTTGTGGACCTACTTCTATAACAGCGGTTCGTTCAAACTACGACAAAAAAATAGATCTTGCAATAACGAATAGAGGTACTAACGAACTGACTATCTTCCGCAATATGTGCCTATAAACAATTGATCGAATTTCATTCCAACCCAACACAATTTGTTTTTTTTCATACTTTACTTTCGACTGTTTCATTGGGTGTTTGTTTTTTTCTTTTAAAGAAATATCTTATAATAAACATATGTTTAGTTATGAATATTTATTTCTCTGATCGTGTTGTTGCTTTCTAGCATCATGTTATTCGAAAAATATTATGAAAAACATGAAGATATAACCAAATAGTACAGGAAACAATAGACAAATGGAAAAGTGCGCAATCTATGGACCAAAGATTTTTTTAATAAAAATATTTGTTCATCTTAATTGAATTCTACAGGGTGATTATAGAATTATTGATGATATATAGTCAAAAGAAAGTTATTCTAAAAAGTAAACCTTTCATTTCTCTCGTCAGCAGAGTGAAAATCAACCAACTTGTACGTACGCGATAGTGTATTTCAGTCTAGTTTTCATCTGTTTCTTGAGTTCAATTCATCGTTATTCTTAGAAATTTTTTTATGTGGAAGGAACGACAAAAATTTTCGAATAGAATCACACTTACAAAGTCAAGACTTTCTCAGTTAATCTCATTCAACTCTAGTCAATTGTGTGACTAACAGGGGCGGCGCGAGCGGGGGGGGGGGGGGGGGTACCCCCCTCCTGCTTTTGAAAATTTTCGTTTTTTTTGCTCAACAATACCTCAAAATTTGATGTTTTTTCACATTTTCTCCCATTTTTCGAAAGTACCCCCCCCCCCCAGAACATTTCTTCCTCAGATTTTCTCCGATTTTTCGAAGGTACCCCCCCTGCTTTGACCTCTTCGCGCCGCCCCTGGTGACTAAGAACATTTCAACATGAACGAACTTCTTTCATCCTGTTTAGCACTTTGTTTTTCATTTTCTTATTGAAGCTCGTGAGAGATTTTCTAGCCTTTCACACAAACTGTGTTTTCATTAGTCACTTTACATTGACTACAGATAATCATCATCCTTCTATTGTCACTTATTGCTCTTTTATGAATTATGATAGAAATAAGCAAACTTGAATTTGGTTTATTCGAAAGAAAAATGCACTCAAACGATTAATAGTAATTGTATCAAGAGATAAGCAGTTGAATTTGTTCGAAAATGATACAACTTATTTGTATGTTGTACGGAGTCAGTTGCACAAGATTACGATTTTGTAAATATGACCATATGTGAGAATTTTTACCTTTTCTTCTACAAAAAAATCACTGTTTATTTATGAGAAAAAAAATTGACTAGGGTGGATGTAGATGTGATGTCGGGCTAATAGAAAGTCTTTATTCACACTCATATCGCACATTCATTTTGATACACATAGCTTGGATGCAAAAAAATAGGTTGTGTTCGACGACCAGTAACCATCACTGATTATAATTCAGTGGGGGAGTGCTTGCAACAACAGAAAACAACGACAGTAAGAGTAATAAGAACTGGAACACGAGGAGTAGGAAGACCATGAGGACTAGCATGGCAATAGATTGCACATAACATCATGATAAGATAGAAATACAGATAGATAGGCTATCTATAAATGCTTTAATGAAAATATCGAGAAGAGAAAGCCTTATAGTTTGAAATATCTTTCTTCGTGTCTCCAATACGTGCTTTACTATGAGTATTTTTATTTTCCTACTAAAGTGTATGATATACAGTATTAAACAAATCTATCAGTTAATAAAAATGTGAATTAAAAGTCAGAATACTTCTTGTCTGAGATTCTTTGATTTCTGCTATATTTACAGAAATTTCACTCTTTTAGCTCTTTTTTGTTGTCAAATCATAGAACTTTTTCATTGAAAACTTACTGAATGATTGGTATTCTAATCTTAGGTATCCCACAATAATATAAAAATCCTTCACTACAAATACAAATAATCAAAGATTTCGAGTAGTCTCCCTATATTCGAATGTGAAGAAATGTTGAGTAAACGCAATCTCGTTACATATATTCGAAACTCATGGAGTACTCCAGGCAAAAAGAATCGAGAAGTCAAAACTCGACGACTGACACTCCTAATCCTGTTATAATATCAAAAATGATCAATTATCGAACAATCATCAAATTTCTACCAATAACCTAGTCACAACGCACATATACATTGTTTTCCATCAGTTTTCTTGCTATAATAAGAACAATATTTATCCATTTTTGCTAGTAGAATTCTTTTGACTTATAAATAGTTTTCAATACACAATGTTTACAAAAGTTTATCTAAAATTCTTTTGTTATTTCGGTTAGTGCGAAATAGAACTATTCAAATATAAAATGGAAAAAATATATTTCTAAGAAGTGAAACAATGACTTATCCCATGGCTTGAAATATTTTTTTCTATGCTTGCGAACGACGAATCTATGCTGCAAAATATTCGATTTACGAAATTACTTTATAATGTAGCAAATTTTCATTCTATACATAAATACTCCAAATAATAATTTCAAGAGTATCTATTAATTCTATTGAACTTTTCATTAATTGATCATGGACTTGATGCTTCGACAATATCGAAATCTTTCGCTATATTAATATTAACTCGCTCTCTCTATAGCTTATGTTATGTAGATATACATTTGATCTTTCTTATTTGTACCGTTCACTGTAATAAATGACGATTTCCTTGTCTGATTTTCATGTACTTTTATTTACATGAACATCTGAATCAAACGTTGATTTTTCTTTCATTATTATAAATAAATTTATATTTATACTTTTGAGACATTTTAGTTTGAAAATCAGAAGACAGTAGTATACTGCATTCAACGGAAAAAGAAATGTGCCCTAGCGCAATCTATACTGTATTCCTATTCAGATCACTATTCTTCATATGTTAATATATGCATTCTGACTAAGACGAACAAAGACAAAATGCTCGTTGTTGTCAAATATATATAAGTCAAAGGACTGATTACAACAACAAAAAAAGGTATCTAAATTTAGTAGAAACATGTTAATTGTAGTCACTATTTTTATTTTATTAACAAATTCGTTTCAAACATACGGCTTATGTTCAGATGATAGTGAATGTCCATATTATTGTGGCAATAATAGAAAATGTCAAAAACCAATATCTCGAGGTGAAAAATGCTCTGGCTATATTCATCATATTCGAGAATGTGATACTGCATCTTGGTGCCATCCCGACACAAACTCAACTTGTCAACTTTTGAAAAATATCGATGAAAAATGCGAATATGATTACTCTTGCATCGATAATTACTGTGATTTGAAAACAAATACTTGTCAGTATCGACAATTCATCGGTGAATATTGTCAAACAAGTCGATCATGTCATTCAAATTATTGTAACCCGGACACAGACACATGTCAACCAATAAAAACATTGTTCTTTGAAAAGCTGCTATTTGTATGTCTTATACTTCTTGTTCTTTGTAAATAGTAAACATCTCAAAATGATGCACAACACGTATCTGGAGATTTAATTGAAGTGAACTGAATGTTATAGAAATCATTTATATCAAATAAAAATATATCTCTTAAAATATAGATTTCTCCATTAGTAACATGAATTTAGAAATGTTTGTTTGTATTTCGAATTTTTTGAAATTTTTATATAAATTGAGAGAATTTTTGAAAGCGATTGGGACAGGTAATACAAGTATGTGGATATTCAAATTCGTCAACAAATAAAATACTCAACAAGAATTACCAGAAAGGATATTGATATCAAGAAGATTCTCATGAAAACCTCGCATCTACATGAGTTTAATATTTGAAAAACTCATATGAATGATAATTTATTTTTGTTGTCAAAATTATACCTTGACTTAATTCAATGTTTCTGTATTTTATTGTAGAAATAAGCACAGTCCTACACATTCAATTTGCCCATATTCCATCCAAGTGATTGTTTAAATATCTATCCTAACAGAAAAAACAACGATACAAATATTTTGCGTCATATTATTAAAAATATGTATAATACACAGCATCTCTATTGAAAACTCGTCTGCATGTTCTTTCGTTTTTTATTTGTTAATTTCATCAACTATTGATAATTCCATATATTCAATCAATCTTATTAGAACTAACCAATATGACACTCATTTTGATTTATCTTTTGCAATGTCGAGAAGATTCAAAATTTTATGCCATACTAAAAGTATGTCTAATAAATGATACAAAATATGAATCTCGACTTACTGCTAGATGACGATGAAAGCTTCCGATCGTTATGTACCCATTGAAGAAGATTGATTAGATATGTAATGGAAGACAAATTTTTTATGCACGGAATAAATTAAATTTTCTGCGGTCAACATGCTTTTAAAAACGTTTTTTAATTCATGCTTGTCGATTTTAAGCGATAAAAAAGATTTGGAAAAATAGTTAAAATTAGAAAAAAATAGTTATTTGTTTAATAACGATTTATGATCGTTTTTTATGGACGAATTATATTCTTTTGAAATGATATAAATAATATATGAACATACTGAATCAGCTAACTTTTTATTTTGCAATTACTCTTTATAAGAAAGCTTTTTGTAAACACTAATTAGAATTTAGTTCATATTTTATGAGTAATTAAGAAAAATAAGCCATAAATGTAGACTTTTAAATACTCTTTTGTGTAATGTGTTCCTTATTGCATACTGTATTCCAAAAATATTAATTGATGAAACAAACGAAAATTAACTGAAAATCATCGTTAAATGAGTCATGAAAGATCAAACGATCTTAGAAGATCATGGGTACATTATACAAAGTATTAATTAAATTTTAATTAATGTTTAAAAAACTCAGTTATAAAGAGTTATAGCAAAACAAAAAATACACAGTGTTATTCAGTTTTCAATGCTCTGTCTAACAGAATACTTGAAGACCAAAATTTATAAAAGAATATTTCTCCGGTTATTGATTGTCAATATTAAATAATAATAACAAAGAACTTTTTAAAAACGTTCCTACTAAAAAGTAACTCATTCAATTTTACATCTTATGATATATTATTTTAAATTGTGTCTGTTGTTTTTTGGTAATGATATAATCAAGAAAATACTAAAATGTTTTAAACATTGCAGTGCACTTTACATTAGCAGTAACTTTAAGTGAAGATTCTTCCTTACAATTTAACTTCTAAATGAAGATCTTAATAATAGGAAATATTGAGCCTACCTAAGAATCAAAACATTACCTCGTCTATGGGCA